GGAATTCCGGTCAGCCACATTTGATAGCACGTTTATGGGCGTTGCCACGCAGAGCACCGTCGATTCGACAGATATAGCAATTAGCAATTGTTTCCTGAATTTATTCACTGCTGAGAGCAAAAGTTCTCACTGCGATAAGGGCCGCCCGAAGCCTTACTAGGACACTGTATCAGGGAATCATGCTAAATGGACACAAACTGAATCATTCGCTAGCGATAAGACAGGTTAAATAGCACGGTACTTACTGCTGATAGACTTCGTGTTTCGAAAGCGACGTGTTTCAGGACTGTGCATCTTGCGTCGTTAACTTTCATATATAGAGCTTTGTAGACAATTTCTGCATCAAATACGCAGAGCCACTTGCCTGTCTCGACTGATATCGGCGATTCTTCGCAAGCCAGTCGTCTAAGAAGGAAACCCCAAATATCGCGACCGAATACAACTCGCTCCATAACGTTTCTTATGAGCCTGACTGCATTCCGTGGCCCAGACACGGACTGATCCGCCGAGCAGAGTACGTAAATTAGACGACTGTTCAACCATCCACCGATGGCCTTGCTTGCCGCTTAAACGTAACGTGAGGGACGTCATCTTCGATAAAGGTAACCACACAAATGACTTCTCCGCATACGTCTGAATGTCTACCAATTGAATTGCACAACTGTGACACTTGCTAACCCTTGGACCTGACCGACTAACGTCATGCTTATTGATGACTAAGGCGCGCTAAAAGTAACAAAGGATCCGATGTTTTCCAATCTAGTAATTAACGATTCAGTGTTGTGAGTGGCTAAAACGTCACCCGTTCCTAGCCACGGCTAGCCAACAATACGATCCAGAATCGGGTGACGCAATTTCAAAGACTGCCGGAGAGCAGATGTGACTGTCACAGTAAGTAGATAATCCACAAAATGATCCCCTCAAGACCGAGCTCGGCATCAAGCTGGATCTGGCTTAGTTCTTCTGTGAAGGCAAAGACCCTTTAGCGTATACGGTACGCTGTAATGCCACTGGCACACCCAAACGGAGATGACAGAACAACACGGTGAACATATGCATAGGCCAGCTTGAACGACGGAAACCGACTCGGAGTCATCAAGCACTTGCTATATTCGTTCTAGCTCAGAGCATTATCGTATGACACACGCACACAATCAAATGATTCGTTATTTCAAAGTAAATACTTTAGTAAAATTACTTTTTACTTAACAAGCGACTTGTGTTGAGGATTTCTTCAAGAGGTTTACCGGCTGGCGTGGGTAAATCTCATATTTATAGTGTTTTGAGTACGATCCTTTATTATTTTTCTCGTTCAGCGCCGAGGCAGACGATAGCTGTAACTACTTAATTCAAACGTTCACTTCCATTGAGCAGTATTTTTCTGATTAGAAATAAACGCTCGGAATGAACTTATAGCTAACTGGCTACAGACCAAATCGATATCCTTCATGACTAGGACACACAAAATTAGATTTCAAACTTATCATTTCTGACATAAACTGACCATTTCACAGTACTGAATTTTGTTGCGTAGCCTTATTCGTTAAATATAGGACGTCCAATTCACTAGTTCAACCATATCCACTCTGATTTTTCGACGTGATCACATTCAAGCAATAAGAAACTCCTGCGTTTCCTAAGGTTTAAGCCAGCTGTTGGTCATTGACTAAATTCTCAGATTTGACAAGGAAGATGGGTCCATCTTTGACGCCCAGGCTAGAAAATCGTAACCGTAAGAAAAAATATCATCGGTCACGCGGTACCAGATGTCCAAAAAGGAACGGTATGGTACGGCAGTATCAAATCAAGCACCGTGTAAGCTTCAGCTTCGTAAAACACTATAGGTTAATGTGCCAGTTTTGTCACGAACTATCAACATCGAATAGAGCAATAATAATAATAGTAGTACCAAAAAAAGTACCATCACCGATGGCAAATCAGATTTATGGATCATACGTAGAAGAGTGACGGTGCGCGATGAGCACCATTATGCAAACGGTGTCTGTCAGTCATTTGGTCGCAACAAATGATTCGTTCATGGGCTAGTATGCTTAGAATTTAGTTTCATTGTTGGTATATCTCGGTGTACGAACAAGATCTGATATACCAGTTCAATACTATTAGCTATAAGTGGGTCAAGACGACACGGTCGAGTCGCCTGAACCGACTGATCGGTCGAGCCCATGGCACGGCATTAGCCAGGATTCAGGAAGCTAATTCGATAATAATGGGCTTTCAGATAACACTTCCATAGAAAAATATCGTCATATCGTTAAATCAGCACCAAACACATTACACGACAATAAGCAATATAGATTTTCGATGAACACGTCATACGGCATTTATACATGCGCAGAGCTCTGTCACCTCTAACTTTGTCTATGCCGGCTCGAAGGGTAATTTAGCAGCAGCAACCGCAGCGGTGTCTGTTTTGTACCCATCGCCCAGTCGCTAAGACACGTCAGCCTGTTACCGTGAGATGGACTCGACGCGATGCTGTCACGCTTTCTGCGGCCGTTCACTACGCTCAGAAACGGTGGCATCGTAAAGCACGGCAACTCTGATTCCAATAGCCTCAACTGTCTCACAGCGATAACCAATCCACATATATTATTCATAGGAATTTGTGCGCCCTGTAGCCGACTCGTTGCAATCCTATTTTGCAGGAGTTGGTTATAACAAGTCCCAGAATTTTTGCGTGTGCTCGCAGATACCGAATATTTACAATGCCCTACTGACAGATAGAAAAAAAAACAAGATTTACATAGATTAAGACTGAAGATCTGTTTTCTTTTGTTATGATTAGAGAATATACCGTGCCTCGTAGGGCGTCGCAAAAGTACACGCGGTACATATTGCGTTAACTAGGACTGCCTGACATTTTTTCTAAGGATTATTCACTCTGATTAAAAGTTTCATCCAGCGGCTTACTGCACCAGTGACTTAATGAACTATACTTAGCCGTTAATTATCCAGTGGCAGCGGGAAACGGAACCGTCCGCACAACTTCGAAAAAGGAGTACAAAAATAAACCGCTAATAACCCAATTAATCGCTGGCTTAAAATCTTCACGTAAACAAATATTTGCGATAGGTGAGCCGCGGTAGCCAAGCAGCGCCTCTTCTGATAGCTAAATGTATGCTAATATTTATAATAGCAGTAACCTGTTGGAAGATTCCGCCTTCGGCTTCCAAAGCGGTTGCGCACCTTCACTGATGATGCGTACTGCTTAGTTAATGTATACACACTCATCTGTACGAAGATCAGCCCTAGTCCCTTCTAAGGAGCATCATACGCACACAATATTACCCCATATACTGACAGCTTGGGTTGTTGGTCGAAAAAGACCAAGCTGTTCTCTCTACGACCCTTTCTTTTTCCTATATCGTTTTTCTATCTGGCTGAAATTCAATGTCGTTGAACCACATAATAGTTATTTGTTTCTATACATCATCACTTATCTTCTCCTTGACTTACCTCCGACAACTGCGTTTGCTTTCAGAGGTTTCTATTACTGACGTCAACAGCACTCTACAACGGGTCCTTATCTGGCACGAAGTTGAACCTCGGCTTTCGGCTCATAGGCAGTGGCGAGAATCCGAGGCGAAAAATGAAGCTCGTAAATTACATTGCATATTCGCTGGTTAGTTGGGCCAAGTAGGGGCGAGGTAGGTTCAAAGTTAAAGGGTCTACCGCCGCATAAGTCAGAATATCAGACAGGGTTGGAATTTCTCCATATTTGAAAGGCCAGCTACAAGTTCTTCTTGGCGCTATAACTTGTTTTTCATTTTGCATCTCTTTTTTGTGTGTGTATGTGTGTGTGTGTTTGAGATATGAAGTTGCTCGCGCCCGAGTTGGACCATACGTTGTGTCTTGCCTACAGACTTTTATCATATTAGTTTTCTCTTGCATGACACAAACTAGTCAGCCCAAGCCTACTTAGTTTTCATCTTCTTCACGATAACATTCAGCAGGCGTCATTAGTAGAACTGAAGCTGTTTCACTTTAGAATTGCTTCGAAAGACGTATTGAGGGAATGAAGGCTAGGTCGATGAGCTTGCAACGCAAGAAAAATGTTCGCAGTCTAGCCCAGCTGAAATACTGATCGGGACATAGATATTGGGTCTATTTTTCTAGCCATACGCATAGGCACAGGCGTTTTGCACTCATGCGTTTTGTGCGAATTGAAGAAATAACATAATGTTCTGTGTTCTTTTGCGATATGAACTTGGGGCAAAAAAATTCGAACAGATAGAAAGGCAGACATGTGTAAACATATATAGTAAACCCTGCAGAGCGTTCAAATGGATACTTGCCCCTGCCAGTTCCATCGTTCGTGTTGCCCCGAAACGCAGGGGACAAATGAGTAGTGTGCCGGAAGTCGTGAGAAAAGATAACCGTTACTGTTACCTCTCCAGTGTTATATCCGTGGTGACTTCCGAATTAGCTCGTATCTGTCCGTACTCTCACAATGATACACTTATATAAGAGTGTATATTCAGACACAGAGTGGTAGCACTTCGTTTTCGGATTATTACTTATCCAAACATTAGATTTGTGCCGTTTAGTCCTCGTGTTCATTTCTCCTCTGTTTTTATATTGCATAAAAAGGGCTAAATACAAAAAAAGAAATACATTATTTTTACACTGTTTTCGAAGATAGTTCTTGCTAAGAATTCGCAGCAGACTTTTTTCGTCGCCATTTCTTATCTAATGCAAACACCATTTGATTTCCCACAACCCAACGGATTTTGTCTGACAGTCCTATTCGTGTAAGGTCTCCTCGTTGATTGAAAGGGAACAGAACAAACGTGTGATTTAGTGCAGTTATGTCCTGATAGCGTCCTTCTTCCATTCCTCACTAGCTGTTATACAATGCACACGTTACGCTGATTCGCCGTCTTCCCCGGAGCACGCTACGAGTACGGTGATGTTTACGACTAACTAAGCGCCGGTTAACTCTACCTAGTCAATGCTACGGATCTGCTTTTTGTTCTCACCTTTATTATCGTGCAAATGCGAGAGCGAGGGTTGAAGCTCGTTACTTCGCTGTCACAATTTCTGAAACGCGACTGTGTATCACGATGAATGCAACGACGCCGATGGGATTACGCTCTAATTTCATACTCAGTGCGGTCCTCACTTGACACTTTTGTGACCAAACACGCTTGTTGGCTTCTTCTGTTCGTTATCTTTAACGTTGTGCGAGCCAGTTACGACTACCGCTATCCTACGAAGGTTGATACCCTTTTAGTTTCTCACCAGGAAGTCTCACTTAAGTTGCTCCGCTTCCGGTAACAATAGCAGCATCATCATAACATATAATCATCAGCGCCGTCGTCATGATATCTGCAACTGTTTTTCATTGATTATCGTTACTGTTGTCTGCTTGACGTGCTCAACTAAGCTTCACGGCCTTGGTGAGCAGCGATACTCGTTGACTACCAGATACAACAATATAGATAATTGAACCGCAAAGACGGCACCGATGCAGCAACGATACGTTGACGCTGCGATTGTACGATTGTACCACAACACGAAGATAACGCACGATCTATCCAATCACAGATAGGTAGATATACGCGCACAGAAAAAAACGGTTACAGGCAGATAGTGAATATTTGCAGTTTTAGCCGCCAGCACACGGTCGTCACACAGCCATCACAGTGGTAGCTGCCGTCAAAGGCCAAGTTAGGCTAGATAGCTGCCGCTTCCACTACTGCGTTCACCCAGAAGGGGCATTAACCGAATCCTGCTACTAGCTTTCTCAGTGTTGGAATCTCCCTCACCACTCGCAGTGTTGATGTCCCGCGTCCGCTGCCGCTACCATAAGCAGCAGCGCTAGGCAGGACCAGCACAGCCGCCGCTAGAAGCAAGCACCGGCGACGAAGATGGGGGTGTTGCGAGCGAGAGGGTCCTCTCTCTCGTCGACAAGTGGAGGAGAGTCGTCCAAACCTCATCCAACCCCCAAGCTATGCTCAGGGAAAAACAGAGGTTCAAGGAGCAGAGGGAATAACCGGGAAGCAATGGGGCCGCGGGAAAGCTCCTAGCTAACGTCCACTCTTTCGAGTTCTAGCCTTGCCAGCGTAGACAACGCACATAGGCCAGTGGCAAAGGTTAGTCTAACTTCTCCACATGAGAAACAGGCACATCATGCACAACACGATGGGCGCATGCGCGTGCCAACGGTACTCGCGTGCATTAGGAAACGAGGAGAGAGAGAAACGAAGGTGGCGAATGGAGGAGTAACCCCTCTCAGGACTGGCGAAAGAAATACAAAGAGAGAGAGAGAAAGCGAGGCAACTCTGAACACAACTCTGGGGAGTCGCACGGGTGGTCGCGGGGATAGCCAAAGAGAGCTCCTATCCACACCACAGACCAGGCTGTCCGAGACTGTACCACACAGTTCGGGCTGAAGGAAGACCTCAACCAACAAATATACACTGAAGCAGACATACGTGTAAGCGCTTCATGACTTCAATGGAAAGGGACAGAGGGCTCACCAAAAAAAGCATACAACTAGGAAAGGGCGTATCAGCTTTTTTCTAACTGGACTCAACCGATAGCAGTTGTAAACCGCGAAATAAAAAAACTTCTAAACAAAATTTAACGCAGTAAAGATAGAAACTTTCAGCATTATTTAAATATTTTTGCTGTCCTTATAAAATGTGTGCCTTATTGGCTCACGTACGTTCTTCTACGAATATACGTAGACTTACTAAAAGTGTATTCAAAAGGTCCGCTTTCTAAAAATAACCGACCTCTCGTAGTGCCCCCGTTGATGCAACGAAATTTTTAGTTGCTATATATTAACGCGTATTTGCAGTTTTAACAGCCGGCACATGTTGACAGATAATTAAACACAGCGGATAAAGCATGCCATTCGTTTCAACGAAGCGAACAAAAGTCTTCGGTACCGAAGAGACATTCAACAAAAGAGCGTTGTTGGAGTCACCCATTAACATCATCGCACAAGAGCGCAGGCGGCTTGCCTTAAGTCCGGAGAGGCAAATATTCAAGAATATCATATCTTTATGATTTCGGAGGCATCGTCCACAACAGTAAGCGGTGAGCACGCTGCGAGCAGGAGCTTTGTCTGAACGAGCAAGAACTGAGCTGCTTCTCTATGAACAAGAAAGCCGTTCAACCAGCAGCCACTTGGTGGGCGCACATTGAAACTAGTAACCGGGCACACGTGAGTTCAAATTAGATCCTCGCCCGCAGAACCTAAGAAAGGCGACGATGATGGTTATCGGCTATCGCCGCTCCTTTCGGCTCCTCGCGTTAGCTTTAGATTTCCCGCACCAGCGTTCCTATTATAACTGCCCCCACCCGTTGCCATTTTCAATCTGAACCCCTTTCCAGAAGCACGGTCCTGCCAATAGCACAAGGGCTTGTATAGCCAAATTTACCATCGATGGTCGAGACCGTCTTCGCCGAGGTGATCCTGACCGCTGCTTTGATGGTGGTCTTCAATACGGCCACCCATTCATAGTCAGCGGAACGGCCAGTTAATGTTGATGGAAGCTGAAGTTCCTGCGAAGGATAAATGGATCCTTTTTCTGCTCGTACACTGGTATCCGGCGTTGTGCTCGCCGTTGTTGTGTCGGCCGTCCGACGTTCAGCGTGGTTCAACCGTTCGTTCGGCACTTGCCTGCTCTTCTGTTGACTCGTTCCAACCTCCCTTTGAACAGTGGTAAGAGACTATGGCATGGCTTGTATTTCGTTGTACTCATCTCGTCTATAATAGTTGGTCGAAGATGAGTAGCCATTATCGATGGCCGAGTCGCCAAAGATCTGACCGCCGCCGTCGCCGCCACAAACGGCACAGGCCTCATCGGTGCACGAGGACGAGAGGACCTCAAATGATCTCAGAGACCGTATCGGATAGCCCCACAAATTAAGGAGCCTTTAATTGCCAGCTATATAATACATAGATCCGCATTAGCTAGGCGGACATGCTGGGGGGGGGGGGGTAAGGAGGCGAGAGAAAGAGGGGGCAGTGTATGCACAAGGGCTTGAAAACAAGATATTGTATGGGGGCAGACGGCTTCCTTGCAAACTCGTTAGTCTAATTAGGTTGACCAGGGGACGCGAAGGTATGTAATTATCTACTATAAACGTTTAGCTGATAATCAGTGTTTTTCGAAATTCACTTCGAAAGCTAGCAGAGAGTTTTAACACGGCATAAATACAAGTTTAAATGATGAATCTTATAAAATTTCTAAATTGTTCTTCCATAGTAAATGGAAATAATAGAAGATGACTTATGCTATGTAATATTGAAACAATACATTTTGCCTCTTCTAATTTCTATGTATGTGATTTGTTCATACAAATAGCAATTGCTATGAATCATTTCTGAGGTTGAGCTAAATGGCCAGTTTAAGTAGAATTCCTATATCGTGATGGCTTTAAGGGACTCATGTGGCGGTACGTCGTTATGTTGCTAAGTGCTAGCTGATTAATATAGAACATGGAAAACAATTTTGTCACACGTAAGGTATCTTATCTTTTACTATTTTTTTTTTTTTTTTTGAGAAGAGCATAAATATCCCTATCATCATTAAATAGCTTGTGTAGATCAATTAAAGACTATAAAATTTCAAATAAAACGCATTTCTTGTCCATCCGAACTAAAATTTACAGATCCGCTATTTGCCCCTTTATACCTTTTGTTCTTGCAGTGCTCAAGGCATAGTAGTAAAACCTTGCCTAACAACTGTTACTATCAATTTATTTAGACTTTCATCAGGGCCGTCGAATGCCGCCATGGAACAAAGACATAGTTGACAAAACAATCGTTCGATAACGTTTTTTTTTTTTCTGTTCGGTGTCGGGCAGTGCAGCTGCTGTCACTAGATATATACATATATATATATAGAATAGATAATCTCCTATGCGAGTCCACGGTCGCTGGCCAAACGTATCCTAACTTCGACTGACTTCGTAAGGTGGCTTCTACGAAAACCTTTGTTCAAAGCTGACTGATGTAGTTCTGTCATTCCGTTACACTCCATGGTACCCCTATTTTATTTCTCGGTCCATCCTGTGCAGCGCTCCCCCTCCACCTTTTGGTGGCTCCTCGTGTATCGCTAATGAAATCTACCGTTCTCAGAGGCTTTTTTTTTTTCTCTTTATTTGCTCCATCTAGTTTATCTGGCGTTCTGTGCGGTTATCCCCCTGATCTTTCCCTCGTCAAATGTATGGTGATTCTGAGCGATGAGTCACTAGCTTTAGTCCCTTAGAGCGAACTGGGCTGGCACTAAAGACTAAGCAATGCGTGAGGTGAGGCAACGCACGAATGGCCATGATCTGGGTGCGACCTTAGGGTCGGAATCGATCCAACTCCTGTCAGTAAAACAGAAGCAGTAGAAGGAAGCAGCAATCCTGAGCTGCACCAATCTTGAAACGACCGCGTGCTCCGAGTAAGTTCCTGGCAATCGGCTGGACTCTGCCAACAGCGTGTTGCGATAGAGTTATATAGGGGCCCTGTTTTACTGTCGAGGTAGGACACCACCATGATCAAAGCTGCAATGCCGGCAGCAGAAAAATGCGCAGGAGAGTAGTACAAAGCGAAAGCAACAGCTAGCTTGAGTCTAAAGCTGGCTGGATTGAAGCTTGGCGCCTTCTGTGGGGGCGCAGGTGGAGGATAGGAGCATTTTGCAATGGGTAGAATCTTGTGATTCTGCGTGAATCGAGACGAGCCGTTACAGCATGCTGAGTGTTAAAGGAAAACAAGCTGCGCTGATGAAAAACATTTGCATTATGGTGCAGAGAAGAAAAAGCGTAGTGAGCACACAGATATGCTAGCTTGAGTTGTGTTCAATAGCTCGATCTGCTGATTGTCGATTCAATGAGATGTCGTCGACAGATGTTACTTTGTTGATTTGTTACTGTTTCAAGCCAAAATTAAAGTAACTATTTGTCATGTCAAAGATAATATTACACAAGTTAATGCTATAATTTTTGTAAGTGTCTGACGGTAGAGATCGGAATAAATAGTTTTGTCAGGCGTCAATGCTCGATTCCTTATTTACCCTAAGAAATACACAGCATTCTCTTTGTTGGCAGCGGTCTGGGCTTTGTCACAGCTTGTAAAGCACAATTTTTATCTCTTTAGCTGTACATTATTGTCGTATATGACCCATCTTTCACTACCTGTGTCCAGCTGCTTTAGAAATGACGCGATTTCGTCAAGTGTCTGTAGCGTTTTGCGGATGAAGATACGATTGGGTTAGTTCTTTTGCCTTAAGCCCTGTGGCAGCCAAACTCGAGTTTCTTTTTTAGGCTAGCTTTTAAAGTTGGTTTAGCGTTGAACGTTTAGTTTCTTGACAATATCGCGGCTATTCGCGCGTCGATCTCTGATGGAGCTTTAGCAATTCTTTCCGTAATTGGCACACGAGTACGAAGAGTATTTTTCATACGAAAATTTTCAAAATGAAAGCGATAAAACGATTTCTCCGATAGCTCATTCCGACCGTAAATTGTACACCGTTTGTTTTTTTTTTTTTGTTCATAGACCTGGGGAGCATTTGTGGTTTTTTTTTTTACCATAACGAAAATCGTCAAATTTTGCAAAACATTTGATTTACTTTAAAAACGCTGCATTTCTTAAATTTGAAGAGAATCATTCTAAGAGCTTTCAGTGCTTTCAAATGCTACCAACGTGAAGTTGTAGCGACTCATCCTCATCATACCTGACATATGTGACTTTGAAGTTATCTAACTAGAGAAACAATCAATAACCTTCAAACAATCTATTATTATGACGCAGCCTCACGGGCGGAGGATAAAATGTCAAAGAAACAGGTGCGATCTCTTATGACAGTAGTTAAGTTT